GTCATGTGAATATTTAGAGTGACAGTATAATTATATTACCTAGTGCAATTAATTTTATTAGGAACTTGAATAGTTCGTCTCATTCATAATTAAAAAATAAAGGATTGAGAAATCTCATCAGCTGAGATATTTCATTGCACTGTGCTTTGTGTTAATTTATAAATTAAATGCTTTAAAAAAAAATCAACAATAATAATTAATACAATTAAACATTATAAAAATTACTAATTATTAAAAATCTAAGTAAATGGTATGATTTGGAAATAATTATTTCGTAATACAAATGCCTCTATAATTGTTAAAGGTTCTACCTAGGTAAGAACTATGCAGTTTATTGCATGCAAAATTACTGTGAGAATCCACTAGGGGATCTACACCTGATTTTACAACCACAACAATGTGAGAATACCTTTTAGGGTCAGGACAATATATTGTATAAAGTCGCCTGGTTTCAAATTAGACAATTGGCACTCTTTTGCCAATTTGTGGTTAATGAGATAATCATGAAACTTCTCCACATTAACCCATGCAGGTGTGTCTTGATGCCCTGGTTTCCAATTCCATTCTTTATCTGTAGGAATGCCACCTGCATTTAAAACTTGCGAAGCGTAATTAGTACAATCTACGCTGTGATTCTGGTAATTCGTGTAATCTGAGAACTTCTTATTTACGCTTTTACAATATTTTCCAGCATAATCGACGGCTTTTTGTCTATCATAACTGGAAGGTTTAGAAGGTGGTGAATTAGATGGTGGTGTATTAGACGGTGATGGATTAGATGGTGGTGGATTAGACGGTGGTAGGGGAGGATTAGGTGAATTAGAGCCTTTCTTAATCCATTTGTCAGAAGTACATCCTGAACATTTATTGTCCTTGCAGCAATAGCTTTTTCCTTTACCGACTGCACAACATCCGTAAGTGCAAGGGCCATATCGACAAATGTTACTACCACCTGGACTACATTGAAAAATGGAGCTGGGATCAGAAGGACAATCTATATTTTTTAAGAATAGAGATGTTATTGACAAGATTTTCTCTTTTATAATATGTTTATGAAAAAATTAATTTAAAAAACAATATTTACGATTATTAAGTTCATAACCACATTTGAGTCCGCCAATTTTATCGTTTTTATCACACGTACAGCCACCAGCATCGCCACAGGCAGCGAAAGCACTAGAAATAAGAAAGGCCAGGAAGCTAAAGAATGTAATAAGATAGATGTTCATTTTGTTCGCCATTTTTTGAAAAATTATTTTGGCAAGAATTCACTACTGTCCTATTTAAATAATTTTTTATAAAATGTTAGAGAAAAATGATTATGTTAATCAGAAAAAATAAATATATTAATCAGAGAAAAATGATTATACAATTATCAATTCGAAATCAATGATACACGATGTCCTGAATTGTCAACTGAACCCATATATTTTTTCTAATAAAGTAATTGAACAAAGCGTCTTTAATTAATTCATTAGTAATTAGATTTAGTGAATTAATTAGCTTTAACGTTAATTAAATAATAATTAGGGTAGCTGCGCAACGTGTGACGCCGCGCAGGACCAGTACAATCACGTATGCACGTGTAAATTCGATTAT